TGCACTGTGAATGTTTACATGTTATGTTCAATTAAACCATGGCAACATCTAATGTTTGTGTACTATTATTTTAAGCAGACTGTGTTTTTCTATTGTTGTGACTTAAATGAAGTTCAGAGCACATTTTATGACCAATTCATGCAAAACTCCACGTAATCCCAAGGGGTTCACATACTTTTTCTTGCAACTGTATCTGGAACTACCAGATCTGGGCTACAAACAACGTTTACTTCTAACTAAACATGCATAGGAGTGTAATGTTAAGAGTCCACAGTACTATATACCAGTCATCATTCCTTCATTTATCTGTCAAATTACTCAGATAAACAAATCAATTGTAGCCATTGTATACTTCGCATTAGCATTTAAAATTAATTCATTGCATTAAGCAAGAAGTCAATGCTTGCTGTAATTTGTTTACTATAATCTAATCTTCTTGAAATATTTTTACACCTTGATGAAAATACATAATTGACACAGTGCACCATATATGCATGCCAAGTATACGGATGCAACAAAATACAAACTTACAAGCTTAATAGTGGTTTAGTGATAGACACTCCGTTAGGTGGAAATAAATGATGAACATCAAATGCACAAGTTTTGTACATGCATGAGTAATTTCACTGGACTCTGACTACTGTCCTTAGCAGCAGCATTATGCAAGACTCTGTAAGAAATATATAAGGGCTGCAATCCTATGCATACTTACTTGGAAATTTAACTCACTGAACACAACAGGATTCTGAGTATATATTTATTCACATCTGAAGACTGGTAGCTCATCAATAGTTTCCCAAGAAAACATTTATCCCATATCCTGAAAAAATAAGCAAGCACTGAGAATAAATCAAATCTTCATAAATCTTTAATAAAATCTCTAAGCATTATTGCTTAGATTTTCAGAATATATTCACTGATTTTCACCAAGGACTGAACCTAGAATAATACACTATTGTGCATTTATCCATTAAAAGGAGGGTACACTGTTTACAATGCTGAAGTAGGATCTGGAAGATCTAAATTGTGATGTTTACTGACAGAACTTGGGAAGTCAGGATCTTGCAGCCTCATCTTTCTCACAAGGTTATTTGAGGATGAGAACTAGCAACACTGTTGAAAAGGCAGGCTGCATGCATAATATAAATTATTATCCACACAGGAAATAAACATGCAGTGCTGTTAACTAATCAGTGCAGAAATGGCTACAGTAGATTGGTCATTAAAACTCCAGGATTAAAATAGAGGATCTCTGCTAAGTACAATGGAACAGAAAAGCAATATTCACAAACTTCACACCTTTTGCAGTTCTCTTGAGTCATGTTTCATCTTACTCAGTAGCAGTGCCCCATAGCAATTTTTAAGGAGGAACATGAGCTGCAGACAGCATTGATTGTAAAAATTGCCTTCGTACCCTCTGCCTCTAACATCAGCAGAATTCCAGTTATCACTTGTTTGATCCAATCCACCCATTAGTCATGTATTCCAAGAATAGGGGGAAAAAGTTATGATGAATAATGAGAAAGAAACAAAACATGGTAAGAGAATGGTAGAAAATCAATAATAAAATGTTTCTTTCTTATGCTTAGTACCAGTTATAACAAAGGAAATAAGGCATATTGCCACAGAAATCCCTAAATTACGTGTTAGTAGGGTTACAAATTTCAAGAGACTAAAAAAGGAACTCTCTCTCTCCCACACACACACACACAGAGGGATTGTTATTGGTTTAACAAGGCAATAAGAAGGAAGCAACACCAGACAGTGATGTCACTCTGTGTAGAAACAAAGGAAGCTGCCCTGGCTGGAAAACTAGAACCTCCTTTTATGACCCAGATAAAGAAAAATATTTCTGAAATGACAGCTATAAATTCCTAGAATTAAATATCAAATCTATCCAACTTTATAGTCAATTAAGTACAATCTTGATTATACTACTTGGAAATAAAATTCGCTGACTTAATATTAAAAGCTGAATTCCGAGTGAAAAACAGTTGGAATCTAACACATCTTAATTCGCCTAAGATAGATATTTGTGTGGGTTTTTTTAAACAAAGTTTGTATTTTGCCCAGTATCCCAAGCTTAAGTGGTTTATATTTTGTCTCTGAAGAGTCAACCTATAAAAACCACAAACAGAATTTTGAATACTTGAATTTTTAATACAGTACTGAAAAGCAAATGAAAGAGAGAGATGGAGGGAGGAAAGCCGGGCTTCTCCTCCACCAGACTGGAGGAGGTTTAGATGAGAGAGATCTGGCCAGATGTCAAATTTCAGGCCTCAGGAACAGACTACTGCTACTGGTAACCATATGTGAACGGAAAGCCCCTACTTTTGTTTGCTCATCGGTGGCCATTTACTCCAAACCGGCAAGGCAACAGACTTTCATTTTTAAAGTCAAACACTCACACCCACGAAATCAACGGATGGGAATCTTGCTTTGGTCCATTAGCGATTGTATTTTATGTTTCCCTTCCCGATGAATCCGGGGGTCAATACATGCCCTACAGGCGCCCGAGCTGTACTCCCCCCTCCCACCCGCGCCGCAGTTACCTTCGAGCCTTATGGTGCCCCGAGACCCCCTTTCTCGTTCTTGTTGCAACCGATCGATTCGGCTACCCCGTTAGAAAATTCCCCCTCGCTGAATTTCATTCTCCTATCCAGCCCCAACCGGGACCGGCTCCTTCTCGGTTTCTCGCAATACCTGATATGGCGGCGGCGGCTCCTGATCCGGTTCAGTCCCATCCCCGTAGCTGGCCCTGTCCGATTGGGACTCGTGCAGCAGGGAAATATCATCCGAAGTGGGCGATTTCAAGCAATTTCCCATCTTCCCCAAAGGGAAGTGGGGGGCCTTCTCCTTCTCAGAAACACAACGGCAGCTCTAGGCGACAGCGGCGGCTCTCCCTCGGCCTTTCCCGGGCAGCAGCAGCAGCAGCAACCCGATACTGGAAGCTCATGCCAGCTCCCTACCCGACCTAAGCTGCTTAGCCTCTCGTCCGCTCGCCTCAGGGAGTGACCATCCCTTTCTCGCCTTCCGCCAGAATGCCCAGTCACCGCTCGAGCACCGAAAGAGCAGCAGGAAAGAACCGGAGGTTTCAGCCCACGGGCACCATCAGGGCCTCAGCCCAGGGCGCCTCTGGACCTCTGGGAGTTGGGAGGAGGCGTCCAGGTATACAAGAGCCCGCTTCCTCCCTAAGCCTAAAGCGGCGTTCTTCTTCCTGGTCACCAGCCGTCTACGCAGCGAGCTTTGTCAGCCAGGCCTCTCTAGCTCCTCCTCCTGCATTGATGCCCGCCGCTGCTACGGCCTGCTTTGGCTCACCACATGCTTAAATCCCACCTTCCCTTCGAGCCAAAGCGAACGGGCACCCCGGGATTTAGATTTCTGAAAAGTGTCGCACGATTGGGCCGAGACAGGTATTCCTTCCGCATATAGTAATAGACCACGGATTAATTTTATAGTTAAAATAGGGCCTCGGCAGACCTCAAGTTGTATATTCATTTTGGGGGCATTGCACTTCCTAAAACTTCTTTGCATATGTACTCAAAAGCACAATTCATTCCAATATGGTTTCTAGTTAACACTGCAGTATTACTAGATTCTTTCTGAATAATCAAGGTAAGATGTTACATTACTTGTGCTCACATAATTCAATTGGATATGAGTAAATAAGCATAAAATTGCATTGTAAAATCGTGTATTTCTTTTGTTGGTTTTCTTGTGAAGACAATATTGGATGTATTTTAAAAAACCCTAAAAAATGTGGGTTTTTAAATAGACTTTTTCCTAGGTATTTAGACATTGTCCTTGCCCGAAAATCCTTTAGAAATTGCATACTAAATGCTGAGGTCTTGAGCAGTATTGCCACAATCTACTTTTCCAAAGAACCTAACTTAACATACTTATCACTGTTGAAAACAATATCTAAAAATGCATTAAGTGGCAAACCCCAATTAATTCTAATGTGTTTAATTCTACAGAATGCCAAGAAGTGTTCAGCTTAAAGCCACTTTATTTTTCAGTATTAGCATAGCAATTGATGCCATATACATTTCCAACTACTTTCCATTTAGTTAAGATTGTGTGATTTAAAGTTGTCACAGTATGTATGGACTTTAACGCCTCAGTCATCTGGGATGTGTAGTGATTAGTGAATTTCACTGCTGGTGGAATAAATATCTACCAGTTGCAGTTCTGACCTGAGCTCAGGGAGGTGGTAAGTTGTGATAGTTGGCTAGAGTGATAGGTTTAGCTATGAGAAACTTATAGTATTGCTCTAATTATCTTTGTCTGACAAGCAGGTTGCTGTACTTTGGTCTGGTAAATTTTGTGATTTCTAGCAATTGTACTGCTAGTAAGATAGCCTGAGATCTCTGTACAGCAATCTGCTTGCCAGACCTATGCAGAAAAACATGGTCCAACAGGTAGGTCACTCTGCAGGATGCTTTGCTTCCACATGGGCTGGTATTTTAATACACTCACAGGACATCTCATGCAGTGAACCAGATTCATGGAGAAACAGCATCTTACAGAGCAACCTACCTGTTTAGGTATTTTTTTCTACAAGGTCTGATAGGCAGGTTGCTTTAAAATCCTGGCCTTTGGCTTTTTCTTGTATTTTATTTACAAGCGTTTATCATCAAAACATGTATATTAGTTATACCAGTGGTGGGTTGTCCCCGGTTCGGACCAATGGGAGGCTCCGCCTACTGACCCCATCAGGAAGCTTGTGCGTATGTGCAGAAGTGCGAGCAAGCGAAGTGAGCGTGCTCACATGGCCCCGTTGCAAACCGGTAGTAAAGGTAAATAGAACCCACCCCTAAGTTATACCCACCAACTTTAACAAGAAACTAAAAACTGGTGGTGGGGAATGGAAATGCCTCATCTTTCTTACACCCTTGCCATAGAAACTCAATAAACTACAAAAGGAAGAAAGCATCTTGTTCTCCATCCTGCTTAGCAGTGTAGCTCAGCATTCTTTTTTGCCAATAAACAAGAAAATAAATCATTTTGGGGCTTTATTTATAAGGCTTCCTAATCCATTGTGAAAATGGCTGTTATGATTTTGTCGTATTACACATACGTAGATTCCAGAATTATCTTTTCAGATCAATGCCTTACCATACATCCATTGTCAAGCTATGCAAAGACTTGAATTCCCCAGCAAGTTGGAACTTCAATTTCCCTTTTAAAAGAAGAAAAATTTTCTACTTTATTTAATAATTTCACTATATGCTAGTGAACTTTGCAACTAGGTCAATACAACCAAACTGCATGACACTGTATCACAAATGAAATATTTGTTTTTGATGAAAAAGTATATAATGGCAAGACTGTCTCAATCCCATGAATAATATCACAATTTTTCCACCTAATTTCCACCTAATTTTTTAAGTGTTTTTAAGTGTTTTGTTTATTGTTTTTAATTAATGGGGCCAAATTTATATATGTATATTTTAACTGTATTTTAATATTTGTATTTGATGTTTTTACTTGGCTGTTCACCGCCCTGAGTCCTCAGGGAGAAGGGCGGTATACAAATTCAAAAATAAAATAAATAAATAGTTTTTCATTGTGACAGTAAAAATTATCAAAACCTATGTTCTCTTAGGCCACAATACAATATTTATTAATAAAACGTTGTTTATTGATGCCAGGTTTCACTCTTGATGCTACCACAAGAGCCAATGATCCACAGGAACAAAATCTCGAATGCCATTGATTCATATCATGAATTCACCCAGATGGGTTTGAACAATTTGGGTAATTTCTAGTTCTGATTAGGAATTAGTCAGTTTTATCACAATAACACTCCCAAAAAGCCTCAGCATCCTTGCACACATAAAAGCGAGCATAAATGTAACTGAATGTGCAAAATCCCTACAGGAACCTACATTGAATGCATGAATGCTTTGAGGAGTTTGAAATCATTTGAACAACCTGCAGAGAGGGCATGTCTTGATGTAATAAATCCCGGATAGGTCTTCTAACAGTATAATTCTTAGTCCATTTATAATACATTCTACAAGTTTTATGGATGCTATGTTGTTGCATGACTGTTGTGAGTCTACAAAACATTTTGTGGTCAAAATATCCCAGATTAAAAATACCAGAGGTACCATAATCTTAAAATGGAGCATCAAGAATGGAGAACTTCCTATAAAGCTGGAACAAGACTCCATCACCGAACTTTGTGTGCTATTCTTAATGTGACTGTATTCAGTTAAGAACTTTGTTGTTTTATGAAAAAAATATAATCATCAGCATTTAAGGTTAATTCGAATTTTTCAATGTGATATAAACATACGGATCATGGATTTTGTACTTCAGAAACATGAGTCAATAATTCTACTGGACGTGATGTATTACTGGAGGAAGCCTTTACGATATCATTTTCAGATTTTGATCTTGAAATAGTTGGTTTCTTGAGCTGTGGTGACATATCGGTATTAATATTATAGTTTTGATCATCTTTCAAAGAATGGTTTGTTTGACATGCAACAGAAACAGTTTCTTTTGGTTTGGTAGTAGTGCTGGGCAGATTTGAACATGGTTTTTCTACAGTAAATTCATCTGATAAAGAAAATTGCGCTGAGCAAATATCACAAATATCATCATAGAAAGATTGTACACTTCCACTGGACCGAGATGGAAACACATATGCTCTGGATCTTACACTCAAACCTCTGTGCGACTTTTTTGAACTTCCTTCTGTATCAGAGCTATCATATATTTCTTTCACAGCACCATGATCTTTGGCATGGGCTTCTACATCTGTAATGAAACAGTTAATATTGTTCATTAAAATATGTGCTTAAAATGAACTTATTTTCAATAATACCGGTAGTAAAAGTAATTTGAATACTACTTGATATCTATCACTTATTCCAAAATTCCTCTATATGTTATTTTGTCTCTAATAACAATAAAAAATAAAAACTCTAACTCAGACACAGGACAAATTATTTTGGATATGTTACATTATCTTCTAGTATCAATCTGCTGCTTTTTAAATAAACTTCTACGATAGGATAATGGGGACAAGGATTGTTATTTAGAATAGGGGTAGATAATCTCTTTGAACCCTGAGAGCCTTAATTTTAGTAATTTTTTTCAATGGCAGAAAATGGCAATGACATGGTATCATCAAAGGGGATGGAGAATGAAGAGATTATTTTAAATATTAATAGTACATCAATCTTGTTGGTGAATTAGTACGTGTATCTCTTTCCCAATGAAACGTAGCAAAGAATTTTGCTATTATAATTTGGCAGTTCATTGCCAACCAAATTTAAATAGTGCTAGAGGCCACAAAAATAGCTCTCAAATGTCATAATTTAGATGCAGGGTTCTCAGTCTTTCAGTTTCTCATGGACTCCTTTTGAGCTTCATTTATTTCTGTAATTTTATCTCTAAAATTAGCACAGAGAACAAGTTATGAGAATCATGACAAACTGATCATAGGCCTAGCAGTAAGAAACTTACTATGGCCCTGATCATTGGCATCCTTCAGTCTCAAGAGACTATGGTATTGTGCTCTGGAAAGAGGTCCTAAAACAGCATCTAGTATGACTAAAAAGGCCAATTTGAGAGTGGCAATCCCTTCCACACTGAGGGCAGATACATTCTGTCCCCTGCCCAGCCCCCAGATTTCGCTGGTTCCAGGACTGCCTCTTTGCCTCAGCCTGCTGAACAAGTGTCTCTTCGAATTGGAGAAGGCTTTAGCCTCCAAGCTGAACGATCAGAGGTCAAGGTTTCCCAGTTGTTAATGTCCATTCCCAGGGCCTTTAGGTCCCTCTTGCAGATATCCTTATATCGCAGCTGTGGTCTCCCTCTGAGGCACTTTTCCTGCACTAATTCTCCATAAAGGAGATCTTTCGGAATCCGACCATCAGCCATTCTCACAACATGCCCCAGCCAGCATAGACGTTGCTGTTTCAATCGTTTATACATGCTAGAAATTCCAGCACGTTCCAAGACTGCGCTGTTTGGAACTTTGTCCTGCCAGGTGATGCCAAGAATTCGTCGGAGACAGCATATATGAAAGGTGTTCAACTTTCTCTCCTGCCGTGCGTAGAGGGTCCAAGACTCACTGCAATACAAGAGTGTGCTCAGGACGCAGGCTCTATAGACCTGGATCTTTGTATGTTCCGTCAGCTTCTAATTAAGCCATACTCCCCTTGTAAGTCTGGAAAACATGGTGGCCACTTTATCAATACATTTATTCAGCTCAGTATTTAAAGACAGTGTGTCAGAGATAGTTGAGCCCTGGTACACAAAGTCATGTACGATCTCCAGTCTTGTGCAGAGATTGTAATACAGGGAGGTGAATCCACGTCCTGACCAATGACTTGTTTTTTTTTTCAAACCTCCACTGCCTTGTGGCTATACCCATCTATGGGAAAGTCCTCAGGAGTCAACCTCGAGGCAAAACCTGGAGAAGAGTCCTGGAGCGAGGAGGAGTGCTAGAGGAGTAATACCTCTAAAAAAAAACAACCTTGGTCCAGTTGGCCTGGCTAGTAGCACCTCGAAAGGGCCCCTACCCAGGGTTACAGGAGAAGATGGTCAACTGTTTTGAAGGCAGAAGAGGGCTTTATGCCCCAACGGCAGATAAAACGGCAGAACCATCTTCTAGGAGAAGGGAAACTCTGATTACAAACCTCCACTGCCTTGTGGCTATATCTACTACTGGAAAAGGCTTCAGGAATCAACCTCGAGGCAAAATCCGGAGCCGGAGTCCCGGAAGCAGTTCATGACTGTACAATCATGTTCTGGTAACTCCTGCGACGCAGCTGGAACTAATCGTATCGGCTTTGCTGTTCCATTGGACTATTTCAGCGTCGTGGAGAGGGGGGATCTGCTGCTTGGGTAACAGTCTATCCTCCATATTTATCTATCCAGGCCTTGTGCTCTGGAGAGGACACTCCAGCTTTGCATCTCTCTTCTTAGTGTTGTAGGGAAGCTGCTTGCCCGTGTTGTACTGAAGAGGCTCCAGGTGCTTGCAGAGAGAGTCTATTCAGAATCATAGTGTGGATTTTGAGCCAACAGGTCCACTACTGACATGGTATTTTCCCTTAGACGGTTGCAGGAGAATGCAGGGAACAAAGACAGCCACTTTTCGTAGCCTTCATAGATCTTACAAAAGCTTTTGACTTGGTTATCAGGGATGGCCTTTATAAAATTCTCCCCAAGATTGGATGTCCACCTCAGCTCCTCAACATCATCAGGTCCTTTCATGAGGAAATGAAGGGCACTGTAGTTTTTGATGGATTAACTTCAGATTCCTTTGATATTCGAAGTGGAGTGAAGCAGGGCTGTGTCCTCGCACCAACTTTATTCGGGATCTTTTTTGCTGTCATGCTGAAACATGCTTTTGGAACTGCAACAGAGGGTATTTACCTCCGGACCAGATCAGATGGAAAACTCTTTAATCTCTCTAGATTGAGAGGAAAGTCTAAAGTCCAGCTGAAATGCTTACGGGATTTCCTCTTCGCTGATGATGCTGCCGTCACTTCTCACTCTGTTGAAGACCTTCAACAACTTATGGACAGTTTTAGCAAGGCCTGCCAACACTTTGGACTAACAATCAGCCTGAAAGTATGGCCCTGATATTACAATGTTAAATAATAGTTGATAGAAATTTTAGATTTCTAACCCTAATCTCTTAAAATACATTTAATGGTTCTTCATGCGGATATCTTTGCATGAACTAGAAGTTGCCTCAAATTTTATTTTAATATCATGACAAACTAAACAGATGATCAACAGTGTCACAATGTTTTGCCTGTACAGTTCAAATCCTCCAGGAAAAGTCTGCACAGTATGATCAAATTTTAGTTTGGTGATGTGCTATATGTTATCTGTCTTGGAGACCTTTATTTTTCAAATGCTAGATATGGATCTATCACATTTTATACATCTGCTCTTTCTAATGTATTAAGAAAATCTGATACCAGTTAAGACAATCAGATTTAAATATAACCGAAGATAAGATACTTGTAACATATCTCAATAAAGTTAAAGGGACATATCCTTACTTCAACAATATTTTCCCACATTCCTGAATTTCAATTACCAGAATTTTAATCACCATGTCCAATAATGAGGAATGGTTATACAGGTAATGACAGCCATTGGACTGGAATTTCCATCACTAAACAATGCAGTTATAAAGCACATCATGTAATGCCACATCAGTTAGCAATGGCAATTGCATGTTGCTAACATTAAGTGAATCACCAGTTTGTTAAACAAGAGAATCCAGACCCATTACTGAGTGCCCAGTTCACAATCACGTGACTCTGGGGGCAATGTGATAGCTGGAACCTTGAGGATTTGTCAGAAGTACTGCTTTTCAACAGTGTTATAAATTTAAGCTATTTAGTTATATTCTGTCATTGACTTTTAAAATTTAATTACTATGTACCATGTTTCCCCGAAAATAAGACCATGTCATATATTTTTTTGAACCCTGAAATAAGCACTTTGCCTTATTGCCATGTGCTCAAAAGCCCATCTGGGCTTATTATCAGAGGATGTCTTATTTTGGGGGAAACAAGATATTGAAAATATATATTTCCTTTATCTAAACTTCTGTAATTGCATTTAACATATTTACTTTACTTTACAAAAGTCTCACAGCAATATATTCTTTATAGATTGCATTCTTAGAAACTGTTGATACCTGCTGCCATTGCTGTCTGTTTCTTTTTTGAGTCCTATCAAATATAAAAAAGATAATCAAAGCATCCATTTTATGTTAAACAAAATATATTAAGAATCTTTCTAATACTTCTGTTATTAGGTATACCTTATCCTGAATTAAATTATCAAATATTAATATATGTTGAAGATTAACAAGTATTTTATTATAATGCTTAAAAGACATAAAATATTTAATTGATATAGTCATCAACTTACAACCACAACTGAACCCAAAATTTCCATTGCTATGTAAGACAGTTGTTAAGTGAGTTTTGTCCCATTTTATGATCTTTCTTATCACACTTATTAAGTGAGTAACTGCAGTTGTTAAGTTAGTAACATGGTTGTTAAATGGATTTGGCTTCCCCATTAACTTTTGCTTGTCAGAAGGTTGCAAAAGTTGATCTGCTGATCTCAGGACACTGCAACTGTCACAAATACATGCCAGTTGCCAAGGATCTGAACTTTGATCATGTGACCATGGGGATGCTGCAATGGTCATAAATGTGAAAAACAGTCATAAATCATTTTTTCCAGTGCCATTGTAACTTCAAATAGTTATTAAACAAATGGTTGTAAGTCAAGGACTATCTGTATTTCATAAATCAAAAGTATATTTGATACTAAATGGGCTGTGCTGCATTTAGAATATAGAGAATAAATCATATAGCCTATCATCACAGTATAAAATTGCTTTCACAACAGAGTTGCGTGGTATCCGAGAGTCTTTAGTGTTATGTTAGGAACATTCAAATTTTATTGATCAGGCACTGAAGAAACTAAAGAAATATCAGATTCTTAAAACTAATTTTGATGTATCAATTACTACTGGACTTAAAATATTAATTTTTATCACTTTGGAGGGAGAAGTGTTTTTTTAAATATAACATATACAATCAACAGTTTAGTATGTCTTTTTCCATTATTATAATTGCATTTAAAGGAACTATATTTTTTTTAAAAAATTATTAAATATAAATTGGAAAAAATCTGTATTCAAAAAAGAATATATATATATATCAGTCAGATTCTGTCATGGTTCCATTATTATCATCAATGTAGATGTGTTTTGGCTTTATACATACTTATAGGCTAAATATGAATTATTACTAACATCTGGCTTTATTCCAAATTTCTAGAATATAGTTGCATTGTACTGGCTATCCTATGTATCTGGTACAATATTCTATCCAATTCCAATTCGTTCTATTGGGATTCGCTCATTGAGATTTCAAAAATTATATATTGCACATGTCAATTTTCAGCTTAGATAGTATTCAGTATTCATTTTTATCACCCAAATGAAGAACTCCCATAGTGAATTTATACAAGCATATTTAGGGTTTTAATTAGCCTCAGAATATTGTGAATCTTAAGAGAGAAGCCACATATATTAAGAGTTCATTTTTTATAACTATAAAAGTACTGTAACTTACCTTTGATTGTACAAAATGAAAATTCTGTGAAACAGAAATAGGGGCATAACCTTGGGCATCAGTAGATTTAGACTTGGGAGAGGATTTTCCATCTTTCAGAACAGTATTGAAAAATTTTAAAACTTGTCTGAAATATATAAAAATAGATTACATACAAAAACTAAACATTTTTGTACTAAATTTTGTAATAAAAACTATATAAAATCGCTAATGATTTCTTTGATTTGCTGATCATATTAGGATGAAAGCATTTTTGTATATAAACTTGCACAATTTACACAAACAATATTTATTTAGAAATGAATATAAAATTACATGTATATTCCTTAAAATTAGAAAAATAGTAATAAAAATGAATGCCATGTGATAACAATATAATTAAGAAACAATTCTAGAATTATGGTTTGCTGAAATTTAAACTAAATTATTTTCTTTTTTCTCATAACTTTATTAAAAACTTTAAAAATAAAGATAAAAATTTACAAGAACAAAAAAAAAGATAAAATCAAAAGTGTAGAAAAAAAGAAAACATGAAGAAAAAAATATAAAGTAGATCCTTATAGACAAAAAGTGTATGGAATTTGCATCAGTATTAAACTTGGATGTCTTTTCTCTATCAAAGCTGTCAGTTTGGCCACCTCAAAAAGTTCCATCATCTTTACCATCCATTCTTCCATTGCGGGCAATGTCAAATTTTTCACCTTTGCACTGTGGTTATCGTGTATAAAAACAAAGCTCCATGACTTTTTTTCACGTTGATTATTGATCAGTCTCAAAAGAAAAGCCTCTGGGTTCAATTTTATATTACTCTTAAAAATTTCCTGGATTAAGATACATAATTGGGTCCAAAACTTTCTAGTTATTTTCACATCTACCAAACATAGTAAAATAACTCCACTTACTGATTACACTTCCAGCATAAATTTGAAGCACAGGTAGTCTTTAACTTACCCCAGTCATTTAGCAACCACTTATGACAGACTTCCCAGGGGTATTTACAATGTCTTTGCCAAAAATTGACCTTTACTTCTAGTTTTTATCAAGACTGGGCCATGCAAACAATTGATTCACGTAATGATCCTGGCATTCACTTAACAACCATGATGGTCACTTTATGACTACAAACAAGGTCGTAAAATTGAGTTGGTCACAAGGGTACGTGCATTCCCCCCCCCCTCCCCAAACACACATAATCTGCAGTATACAGCATTGATCTGGTGAACCCCAGCAACTTCTGGTCTGTCAAGTAATAAAAATTATCATCAGAAAACCATGCTGCTTTTTACCTTAAAAACAACAACACAGGTGTGTTTTAATGATGAAGTTGGGCTGAAGACACACTATTTTCAAAATTATCATTATATGACATAAAAGATTGAGAGAATACTGCATGACAGGTTATTGTTATCATTTTTTAAAATAATAATAACGGCAATATTCAAACAAGAGATCTAAATAGATGTTAACTAGAGTTGGCTGGAAGATTGAAAATATACTTCTGCAATGTAATTTCAAATCTGATAGAAAAGATACATCGATTCTCAACTTCCAAGGTACTAGTAATGGACCATAATAAAGGTATTACTACTTTCCCAGATAAATAATTAAAATTATGTATTTTGTTAAAAGAAAAAAGTACTTGAGTTAAACTGTGCATGGAATTCATAAGTAAAATGTAATCACATTTCATTTAAGGTTACAAAGCAAGTTTTTTTCAAACGAAGTACTCTTTGATCTGGAGAATCAATACTCTCTAACATAGAGTTCCCCAATCTTTCTGGCTTTGTGGACTGGTGGGGTGGAGAGGGGATGGTTTTGTGCAAGCGACAGGTATAGCACAGTTCCAAATGGTTCAGGGCCCGGTACTGGGCCATGACCTGGGGGTTGGGGATCCCTGCTCTTAACAGATCAAATTTTATCTAATTTTCATTACATTTCATCCTAAAAATATTCCTTTGTCCAAATAATCTCAATACACGTGTTATTAAATAAGGTTGTATATTAATCTGGTATTAATTGAACAATACTGTATTAATAACTATACAGGTAGTCCTCAATTTACAATAGTTCATTTAGTGATCAAAGTCACATCATTGAAAGGTGACTTATGACTATTCTCACACTTACAACTGTTGCAAGTATCCCCATGGTCACGTAATCAAAATTCAGATGTTTGACAGTTGGTTCATATTTATATTTGCAGTGTCCCAGGGTCATGAGATCACCTTTTGCAACCTTTTGACAACAAAGTCAATGGGGACGCTAGATTCACTTAACAATTCAGTTACTAACTTAACTGCAGTCATTCACTTAACTGTGGCAAAAGTGGGGCAAAATTCACCTAACAACTATCTCACTTATTAACAGAAATTTGGGCTCAATTGTGGTTGTAAGTGAAGACTACCTGTAGTCAGTTTGAAATATTTGAAAGAAATTATATAAATCCATTAACTTACCTTCTTTTAAGGTATAGATAAAATCCTGCTAACGCAATAATAAACAGAGCTATTCCAAAAAGTGTAGCACCTAATATAAGAGCATTGCTTAAATGTTGCAAAGCACCTAAATAAATAAAAAAGTTAATGTTAAAATATTATGTACTTCAGTTCATATTTATAATTTTTCAATACTTCTTCCATTGTAATTGCCTTAAAATCATGTTTATTCAGAATAAGCCCACATGATTTTTTTTTTATTGCAAAAGTTTTACAATTACATTTTCACCCCTTTTTTCACCCCCCCACCTCCCTCCCCAAACTTCCCATCCTCCCTAACCCTCCCTAACCCTCCCCCCCCAGACTTCCCTATTATGTACTCATAACTAATAATACTGATATATATACCTGAACCCATCCCTCCCCCTATATTATTTTCCCTCTTTATCTCTTTACATTAAGATATTTCTAATACATTATTTTCAAATAAAAGCTATTTGGTACTTTCTAGTTTGGTATTTGTTCTGAACATATTCTATCCACCTTTTCCATTCCCATTCATAAGTCTCTTGTGAACAATCTTTTAAATATGCTGAAATCTTCGCCATCTCTGCAAAACTGGCCATCTTCAAAGTCCATTCCTCGATAGTAGGCAAAGCTTCATTCTTCCAATATTTACCTATCAACAATCTTGCTGCTGTTATCATATACAATATTAATTTTATTTCACCCCGTGTAAAACCCTTAACTATACCCAATAAAAACAATTGTGGAGAAAATTGAATTTTTTTCTTCAAAACATTCTGCATGACCCACCATATTTTTATCCAAAAAGCCTTAACTTTCCTACAGGTCCACCAAACATGATAATACGTAGCATCCAAACATTCGCATCTCCAACATTTTGGCTGAACATTAGGGTACATACATGACAGCTTTTTAGGATCTAAATGCCATCTATAAAACATTTTATAAAAATTTTCCCTCAGATTCTGCGACTGTGTAAATTTAACATTCTGAACCCAAATTTTTTCCCATGTTTCCAACATCACTGGTTCTTCAAAATTTTGTGCCCACTTAATCATACAATCTTTAACTAATTCCGTTTCTGAATCCCTTTCTAGCAAAACATTATAAAGCCTTTTAATATGCATTGGACCTTTCTGTCTTATATGTCTAACCAATTCTTCCTCATGCAACATAATACCAGTTTTTTGGTCCTCTTTCCATCTCAATTGTAATTGATTATATTGTAACCAAGTTAAATTAATCCCTTCGTCCAACAGTGTCTGCAAGGTCTTCAGCTGCCATCTACCCGCATCTGTAAAAAGAACCTCTTTGTATAAAACCCCCCCGAGTGACATTATATTTGTATTCCACAAGGTATGACCAAGATCCAGCCATAGCGGTATTTTATAATCCCATTTGAGTCGGTGCTTCTTCCAAACTCTCATCAAAGAGTCTCTAAGTATATGACTTTTAAATACTTTATCAACTTTGTCATCATAAAATAGGTAAGCATGCCATCCAAATTCAAGATCAAAACTTTCTGCATTCAATATTCCAGCCTTTTTACTTCCAAACCAATCACTTGTTAAAGTTAAAGCTGCTGCATCATAATATAACTGTAGGTTTGGAAGTTTAAGGCCTCCTCTTTCTGGAACATCTTGCATAATTTTCAATTTCACTCTCGGCTTTTTGTCGTTCCAGACAAACTTATTAAGTCCAGTTTGCCAAACTTTCAGTTGTTTATCACTTTTAAGCACCGGAATCATTTGAAACAAAAACAGAAATCTTGGCAAAATGTTCATCTTAACTGCTGCTATTCTTCCAAGTAAAGACAGTTGCAGCTTTTTCCAAGTCTCCATGTCTTTCTGAACCTCTCGCCACAACACCTCATAGTTATTTTGAAACAATTTCATGTTTGATTCTGCAACCTGAACTCCAAGATATTTTACCTTAGGTACAATTTCAAAACCTGCCCTCCTTTCAAGCTCATGTTTACGATCTTGTGTCATATTTTTGACTATCATTTTAGTCTTTTTTGAATTCACTCTAAAACCTGAAACTCTACCATAGTCTTGTATAATGTCGTTCATCAGGATTGTTGATTCCATTGGTTGTGATAGGGTAACCACCAGATCATCTGCAAATGCCTTTATTCTATAATCCTCTTGCCTTATCATTATGCCTTTCAAAATTTTTGAGTCCCGTATTGTATTTAGCAAGACTTCCAATGTTAAAATAAATAAAAGTGGGGACAACGGACATCCCTGTCTTGTTCCTTTTTCAATTTTAAACTCTGTCGTCAAACTTCCATTAATAATAATCTGTGCTTTTTGCTCTTGATAAATTGCTGAGATCGCCTGTATAAATTGGTCCCCAAAGCCCATCTTTTTTAAAGTCTTTAGTAGAAAATTCCAGTCCACTCTATCAAAGGCCTTCTCCGCATCCAAAAAAACCAGCACTGCAGAAATCTGTTTATTCTTGTCAAGATATTCCAATAAGTCTATTACTTGCCTTACATTGTCCTTCATATATCTGCCCTCAATAAATCCCGCTTGGTCCGCATGAATCACCTTTTGGATTACTGGCATCAACCTGTTGGCTAATACCTTCGCATAAATTTTATAGTCTGTGTTCAAAAGAGATATTGGTCTATAGTTCTCTGGTTTTTTAGGACCAACTTGTTCTTTTGGTATCAAAGATATATAAGCAGTTGTCCAAGATGGGGGTATTTTACCCCCTTGTTGAATATTGCAAAATAAATCTCTAAGTTGTCCCACCATTTCAGCTTGTAAAGTTTTGTAATACACTGCGGTCAAACCATCCGTGCCAGGAGCTTTGGCTGTTTTTAGCTGTTTAATTGCTGCTGTTATCTCCTCCTCTGTTATAGGATAATTCATTCTTTCCTTTTGTTGATCAGTAATTTTTGTAACTCTCTTATCCTTTAAATATTTTTCTATAAGTCCATTCTGCACCTCTTCTTTGGCATATAGTTTAGTATAATAATCCACAAAAGCTTCTTTAATTAGTTTTTGTTGAAAGATTTCTTTCCCTCCAATATCAATACTATCAATAGTCCGTATACTTTGTTTTTTCCTCAATGTGTAAGCCAACCATCTGCCCGGTTTGTTAGCGTTGCAAAATGTATTATGCTTCGCGTATTGTAAACTTGTTGCAACTTGTTCCGCCATAAGCATTTGAAATTGGTCTTTCAAAAGTTTTATAGCACTTCGTATTCTTTCATCTGTTGGGTTTTTAATAAGTAACTGTTCTTTATTCTTTATTTCCATTTCCAACTCAAATCTTTTCTTTTGTCGGAACAGTCTATGTTTAGAATTCATGTAGATAAGTACCCCTCTCATATAAGCTTTACTTGCATCCCAAACAATTTCAATTGGGGTACCTTTATTCAAATTTATTTCAAAAAATTCTTTCAAATGCTTTTTTAAGTTCTATTGTATTTTTTTCATATCTAAACAAGTTCTCATTTAATCTCCAAGAACGTCTCTCAACCTTATCCATCTCAATTTCTATCCATACCGGGCTATGGTCAGTCAGAGTTCTTGGACAAATCTTTGTTCTTTTTGTCTTAACAAGTAGATCATTTGACAACAGGATAAAATCAATCCTAGAAAAAGATCTATGTCTATCCGAAAAAAAAGTGTAGTCCAATTCATTTGGATTATGTATTCTCCAAACATCTTTTAATTCCATATCTTCTTTCATATCAAAAAAAGTCTGTGGTAGTCTAATTCTAGACTTTGCCAAGCTCTTTTTATCTAGTTTAGAATCAATTACTCCATTCCAGTCTCCCATAATTAAAATAGATCTATAGTCCCATTGCAATATTTTAATATGTAACATCTTATAAAAATAATCCTGTTGTTGGTTGGGAGCATAAATTCCAATCAAAAGAATTTGACCATTTGCTGTGAGCAATTCAATTGCTACAAACCTACCATCTTGATCTGCTTCTATAACTTTCGCTGTTAATTTTTTATTTACATAAATAACCACACCATTCTTTTTCTGCGAAGTTGAAGATATATAATGTGCTCCTAATTTTGAGTTTATCAAATATTTTTGATCTTGAGTTGTGATATGCGTTTCTTGTAAACATATTATATCATTATTAAATTGTTTCAAATATGTAAATAATTTCTTCCTTTTCTGTGCTGAATTCAACCCATTGACATTCCAAGATAGACACTTAAAGGTCATCAGCCTCTTTCTGGAGCACAGAGCAAAATATTTGAAGTTCATCCGAGAGCTTCGATCTCGCTCCTCCCATAGCTCCACTCTCTTGTACGGTACTCTTAACTGCCTTCTTGTCTTGTCTTTCCTGTTGTTGTTGTTGCTTTTGTTTAAGTAGCTTGGATTGGGCTCTAGTTAAACGTTGATCTTTAACTTCTGTCAACTGAATCAAATCCAAAATTGGAGAAGAATCCAACAAGGGCTCACTCAGAAAACCTCCTTCTGCACCTTGCACATTTTCTAATTCCTGCTTAGACTGTTCTTTCAATTGCCTCTCTTCACTCTCCTTAATCTCCAAAACTGTAGATGTACGTGGAGATGGTGTTCTTTCCTTAAGAATAGTACTGTAAAAGTGTTGTGCCTTCTCCACGGTATTCAACCGATATCCTTCTCCCTTATATCTAAAAATTATCCCAGCTGGTGCGTCCCACCGGAAGGGTATCTGTAAATTTCTCAATTCCTTAACAAGAAAACCAAATTCTTTTCTAGCTTTCAGCATTTTAGGAGGTAATTCTTTAAAAATTTCAAGTCGTGAGCCCCCCACTTGTACAGAAGTGTGAAAAGATTTTTGCAGGATATCATTTCTAATTTCTCTCTCAGTAAAGTATATGACCACATCTCTAGGCAATTGTCTTTGTCTGGCCACCCAAGAGTTCACTCTGTAAATTTTATCTATTTTATGAAATACCAAATCAGGATTAGCTTGTAAAATCTTAGCCAAGGCTTCAGAGCAAACCTGTCTCAAATCCTGTCTCTCCTCCTCTCGAATTCCCCGAAGCCGTATGGCAAATTCCATCGCCCGGAATTGTATCATAACAATCTCATCTTCAATTCTCTGCATTTTATTGTCAACTTCATCAATTTTAT